AGAAATAGTTTTTATTAACTTACTGTTTTTTGCTGCTCATCTGTGTTTTATATTCTGGGTATTGTTAGGAAGTATTGTGACTTACAGCTGGGAAATGAACCTGGAGAATCTCTGGTAAACACAAGCAGACAATGTGACATTTTGATTCATTTCCCTGTATCTTAAAACCTCACCTTCATCTTAAATAAGTGTATTCTATATTTTGGGGTTTATTCATAATTCCAGCCTAAATTTAATAAATGTTTATCTCATTAATAACTCCTTATTAGTGATAACTGTGATGGTGTCCTCCCCTGTTCAGGGTAAATGCCTGTGTGGACGTGGTTGTCTCTGGAGTGGGATTACTGCAGGCTCTGGCTGTGGACCCCGGCACCGGCCTTGATCATGAAGTTCTGCACTCCAAAGAGGACTTGAGGGAGGCCTTCATCCACTACATGGAGCACGGAGCAGCCGCTGAGCGCTTCTTCAGCGATAAAGAGGTCTTTCAGATGATCGCACGTGCAGCAGCAGAATACCCCGGTGCAAAGGCAAGACGGCCTTACTCCCTCAACTTTCTCAAAAGATTACATTTATTTTCATTTCATTTAATCACTTTGTGAATGATCCTATATCCGGTAAACTTTACTTTTGTCTTTTTTCAGTTATACGTGGGAGGGAATGCTGCCCTCATTAGTCAGAAGCTCGCCACCTACCCTGATCTGATGGTATAATTCTACTTCTGTCACAAACTCTTAACTCACTTAAACTAGATTAATGAACTATTCAAGATTTTAGTGGCCCATTTAAATAACCATCACTGATTTAAGACGGCCAATTGAACCAGCGTCAGGTAGTTTAGGAATACTGAGTAATGTTTGAGTGCCTCTCTTTGCAGAAATCCATTGGACTGTAGAAATAATGAACCTGAGAATAATGCAATGTTATATCCAGTCAATAGAGTGATGTGATGTTAGATCTTAAATGTGGTGCGAGAGGCTCAGTCTCCGGTACTGCAGAAATCCCCTGCTCGGTAAAATGTGAAGCAAATCACAGGAGAACAGGTTTAAATGAGATTTTAAAAATCTCCTTTGCAGCCACGTGTTAACAGTATTATAACAAAATTCAGAATATCTGGTTTCAAAAATATGATTGTATTTTTTAAAAAAATTTAAAATCTACAGCAACATTTTCTGTCAAAAACCCCATGTTATACAAAACCAATTCAAATATAAAATCAGTCCACTACATGACCGCTCAGTTGCAGAGCTGCAGTTCGATACCAGTGAACTAGATTTGTTGAGTGTGTGATCGTGGTTGTGTCAATATTTTTCACACCCCAGGTTTTGTTATGTGGTCCGGTCGGTCCTAAACTTCATGAGATGCTGGATGAGCAGATTGTCGTTCCACCAGATTCTCTTCAGGAGATGGATGAATTTCACCTCATCCTGGAATATAAAGCAGGTAGAGAGAGAGAGAGAGAGAGAGAGAGAGAGAGAGAGAGAGAGAGAGAGAACACCCTGCACCTCCTACAGGATCTGTTGTTTTTACCTTGATCCCTGTTAGATCCCTGTTAATGTGTGTAATACCACAGTTGTGTCTGGTCTTATTCTCTGTCTGTAGGTGAAAAGTGGGGCCCAACTCAGGCACCTCAAGCCAACCGCTTCATCTTCTCTCATGACGTTTCCAACGGGGAGATGAGCTCACTGGAGATCTTTGTGGCGAGTCTGGAGGAGTTCCAGCCCGAACTGGTGGTCCTGTCAGGGCTCCACATGATGGAGGGTCAGGGGAAAGAGCTTTGGGAGGAGCGGCTGAAAGAGGTCAGTTTTCTCTGCTGATTTTATTTTCATCAACAAAGCTGCTGCCTTGACCCATTTACTTGAAAGCACATTGGTACAATGGGTCATTTTCGTTATGAGTTCCAGTCACAAAAGATGAAACTTTAATCACTGTATCGCAGCTGTTTTTTTATTTATGTTTGATAATTCTGTGAAAAGTAAAGATGAAGGATCATTCATATGTTCTTCTAGTCTATGGTAGTGAATATTAATGAAGTAATTAGTATTTTATATCATGTGCACACATAATACAACAAGTACAAACAACAAGTACAGTACAAACAGTCAGTTTTAAGTAAATGATTAGACACCTGCCTTCATTCTAAAGGGATGGAAGAAAAACTTCACCCTCAAAAATATCTTTGTAAAATGTTTTTTATGAAAGCAACTCATTAAACAACAACCAATATGAATTTATTGTTTTGTCAAATTAAATTTAAATTGACACTGTTCTACAATTTAACCACAACAATAGAAACGTGTCTTCCTTTTCTAGCTTTTTTTTTTGCTTTTTGAGCATCAAACTACTTCAAACACCTCTTAGATCATATCAATAGCATGAAAACATCAACATTAGATTAGTGTGATCATGGTAACCAGCCTTGGTAGTAACACAGGCTTTAAAAAACTGGATTAATAATCAAC